GACAGATGATGGCTGTAGTCGAGATGTATTTGTTGGCGATCTCGTGGTATCGAAAGAATACCGAGATCGTGCAGGTGCGATCGGCAAGATAAGATACGTGCGTAGTCAAAAACCGCGTAAAAGCAACGGAATACAATGGAAGACTAAAATGGCTGTTATGAGCACAGTTAAACAAACGAGCACAGTAAAACAGTCACTGGTACAATTGGTTATAATAATAATTGTTTTCATCGAACCAATCGCGTTCTGTTGACAAAAGTAGGTCACTACAATTCCTTGGCACTTGTGAAACAAACTTATTCTAAATCATCTCTTCATATGAATTACTTTGCCTGTTAAATTTTCTAGACTCTGGAATAACCTACCACAATATATCAGTACGATAAAATCACTCCCATTATTTGTACGTTGCATCGATGCATATTGCTCCTCCGAAAATGCATTGAATGCTCTAGCACCTGCAATTGTATCTCACTCCACAAGTGTTATTATAGGAACTTTAAATGTTTAGGCATTTTTATTAGTGCATTCTCTGGATAAAACCACCAACTTGCTGTCACTTTATGTTAATACCGTCCCCAGCTAATTTAACTAATTTGAATATCATCAACAGTATATCACTCTGTCACATGACATACGCATTTTGATAGATGTGATTGATATATTTCGGTAATTACTGCTTTGTTGTTCCGTGCTCTCTGTTCTCGTTTTAATTTCTCTAGTTGTAGATATTTATCATTAAATCGATCTGGCACACGAAATGACCTTAATTACACCGTTCATAAATCAACAGGCTGTCCAGTTAAGAAATATTACATGTTCCCGGCTGATGCATTGGATCGCTGTAATACCTAAACAATTACTGAACTTGTGAACTTAAAACTCATATCACATGTTTGTTCTGTACATATTAAGATATTATTTATATCAAATTGATCATGCCTGTAAACTGGCGTGAATTCTGTAATTATCATTTTTTCAGAATATAAATTATTATTATTATTAGCACTAATGATGAAATGTTGAAACTCAGCTCTACAGGACTATCTACGACAGGTGCATTGGGATGTTCACTCTCAACTTGATGTGGATGCTCACCGGAACTTGCTAATACACACGCTCTTATGTGCTACAAAGCAGTCAGTCCCTCAAACGGTCCCCAAAAGCCACATGCAACCTACAATCATCAAAAACCGCACTCTTTGTTTGTTAAGCCGTAAAAGGCACTGTTGGGCAGAATACAAACGAACCAACAATAATGGCGAGTACAGGCAATACAAACATATAAGGAATATATTTACGAAGGCTATAAGAGAAGACATGCTCCAGTACCAGTTAAAGCTTATGGATAAATTTATTTCCAATCGGAAAGCTTATTCCGTTATGCAGCCTCTCTTCGTCAAGCCAAAACTGGAGTTTCTCAACTGCTAGGTCCTAACGGCCCGACCGATAATGACGGTGACGCCGCTAACCTCCTGGCTGAGCAATACTCGCGGACATTTCGACCGTCCCACATCAACTATACTGATGACGGCTCTATCCGCAACTGCACAGGACTTTCCGTAGTGAAACTAAGCGCTGACTTTGTGTTCCGAAAACTGCAGCACTTAAGAACAGACACTTCTCATGGCCCAGATTTGGTCCATTCTGCTATACTGAGGGAAGCAGCTTCAATCCGGGCAACACCGCTTAGGTTGATGTTCTCAGACTCGCTAAGTCGAGGCAAACTACCGGAAAATTGGAAGCTGGCTCAAATCACACCAGCCTTCAAAGGAGGTCGACGCAGAGAACCTTCAAGTTGCCAACCGGTGGCTCTTCTCTCTATACCTTCAAAGATCATGGTGTCCCTGGTATACGATGGCATACACGACTATCTGCTGTCCTTAAATTTCTTCTCACCCCAACAGCATGGTTTCAGGAAGGGTTACTCCTGTACGACGAACCTGCTGACCGCGGTGGACGAATGGACAAGCATCGTTGATCGCAAGGGAAAGGTGGACATCATTTACCTTGATTTCTCTAAAGCTTTTGATCGGGTTAACCACATCTGTCTTATTAACAAGCTCAAACAATTGGGTATCAAACCTCCTTTAATTGACTTGCTCAGTTTATATCTGAAAAATCGACATTTTAAGGTCAGGGTAAACTTTAATTTCTCGAAGGCTATGGAGTGTCCTAGTGGGGTCCCTCAGGGCTCAGTACTAGGACCTCTCCTCCTCCTGATTTATATAAATGATCTTCCTCAACAGGTAACGTCAGACATATTGCTCTTTGTCGATGATGTGAAACTTTGGAGAGAGATACGCAACCAAGAGGACATACAGGCACTTCAGGAGGATCTGACTCGGCTTCAAAGTTGGGCAGATGACAACAGACTTACCTTTAACACTTCAAAGTGTAAAGTAGTCCATCTGCGACACATCACAGATTACGGTTACAACTTAGGAGACTCCTCTCTAGTAGTATCCCGAGTCGAAAAAGACTTGGGAGTTCTGGTGCCCTAAGACTTAAAGTCTTACGCCAGCTGTGATAGAAGTGCCTTTCGAGCAAACCTTGCACTGGTAACATTGAAGCGCATTTCTGGTCAGTTTGACGGGAGAACTTTCTACATAATCTTCAATAGTTTCATTCGTCCCCATTTAGAGTACGGAAACATAGTATTCCCTCCTACACTCCAAAAGGATAAGGACACTCTGGAGAGTATCCAACGGCGAGCCACGAAATCAGTTCGGGGACTCAAATTTAAACCTTACGATGAGCGCCTCCAATCACTCGACCTTCACCCATTAGAGTATAGGCGTCTTAGAGGTGACATTCTAATGGGTTACAGTATCCTTAACACTCGTGGACATCCTCTTAAACACCTACTTAAGCTTAGTCCCAACACTAACCTAAGGGGTAACACCCAAAAACTGGAGATACAACATAAAAGAACGGACTGCAGACACAACTTCTACTCCTTAAGAGTTGTCAAATGCTGGAATTTGCTGCCAGCTGAGCTAGTCCGAGCAACTTTCCAGGAGTCATTTAAGAGGCGACTTGATCTATTCTTAAGGACTAAGGATAGTACCTTACTATGATTTACGAATTCTTTTTTTTCTTTTTTATCGTTAATATACCTGGGTTCCTGCCTAGAGGTATTGGTGATCCCTTGCTACTAGACACGGAAGCCTGTTAAGCGAAAGCTTCTTCTATTCCTTCCACAAGCATTTGAACCATTTGAATCATTTTCCAACCACAACAATCAATATCAGTCTCTATCTTCTATTATGCTTTTCCTTAGAAAATAAAACATTATTCTCCGATGTTTTAGCAGAACAAAACATATTTTGTGTTTCCATAACAAATGACAATCTACGACAACCCAAAATAACATCCATGGTAGACGATACTTATAGGTTATTCTGTTCAATGGAATTTGAAATATGGATTAAGGATTTAATTCAGCTAACTATTACGATAAATTCTGCAGAGTAAAAGGTGGAATACTGAACAAAAATTTGATTTGCTACCATTAAAACTTAATTTACATGACATTTTAAACCAGACCAACTTAGAGTGCTACTACAACTGGAAACAATATATTGAACTAGTATCTAGTGACACGATATTCATTGGTCTCTGCGACTTAACCATTTACTAAGAATACAAAAGCAGGTAAACAAGGGAAAGAACGATGGTGTGGAATTTGTAGCTGCAAATGAATCCCGAAAAATAAATAGCTTTGAAAGTCCTCGACATTGAATAAGACCTCAGCCTTACTGGATACATCTGTAGCTCGACGAAATGTCAGTGAGTTCCATCTATATCATCAAACAAGCTGTTCAGTTTTTATGTTGTGCAAGAAGTCATTGAGCGTTTAAAGGGTACCGTCAGTGTTAAGGGTGACTAGCGCACATTTATCAATTACACGTCATGGATTGAGCCATGCTGTCATCGCACGACTTCGTGCTTCTTCTAAGAGGTTACACCATTCCCGTCCAATTTGAGTAGACGTCAACCATTCGCATAAGTCGTCTCCAGTGGTGATTTACACATTCCTAGATAGTGGCACTCGATCGAACACCCCCAAATAATCACACTTCAGCATACCATGCTGCTCATCTCTTGGAAAAAATAGCCAGCTAAGATCACATACACCTTAATGTATGAACCAGCATCCACGTATATCTACGCATTCCTTTATTCTCAATATCTGATCTAACTTTTTTCGTAGTGTCCAAAAAATACATTAAAAACAGTATTGTGAAACACAGCATATCTGTGACGTCTCTAAATACTTGTAATTGGAAGTTACCTATCATTAAAACCACTTTCATCGAGCGAATAGATGTTACATCAGTGCAAACACAAAATCTGGAAATACCAGTTTATTGTGCACTTAGATTAGTCGGTTGAATTTTTCTTACTAGAGACTTCTGTAACTCGAATCAAAATGTTGGTGCTCGCGTCTGGTCCGCGGACGACATGTATGATAGTGTGTAGAACAGTATTCATAAGGAAGTTTGAAAATAAGAAACAAGAGAAAAAGCCGATAGCTAGCTAGGCACATATAGTGCACTTAAACTTAGTAATGAAAGTTATAGACAGTAGCCATGAGTTGAAAAAACTTCGAACTGTACCAAAGCAACAAGAGGCGAGTGCAAAAAAATCAATTGACTAGTAAACGTATATAACAAAGATACGTCAGCTAATTTCGAGGGTAAGACTACGGAAAATTTGTCAGTCGAGACCCAAGATCAATAAATTAAGATTTCAAGTGGATTGCGTCACTTAAAACCAAGATATGGGCGCTTATTAACCGGCTGATTTATGTCTAATTTTAAAAAGTCAGTGGATATTGGATTTAACACTCGTGGCTGTAACCTTGCCGCTATTTTAGAGAACTCTCGAAGGTCATGTCTGTCGGGAAACAGGATGGAGTCGGATGATTTAAGCGTTCTTAGGTTCCGTTCTGTTTGTAAATATGATGTGGTGAAGTTGCAGTCACTTTATGAGGAATGCTTTCCAGTCAGGTATACTTTCTGTAAATAACCTTTGTTAAGCTATCCATCCTCCTGGTTTCAGGATCTCCTGGATAATTCATCTCTTATATCTATTGCAGCAGTTTCAGGTGATGACTTAGTTGGAATATTGGTAGGGACAGTAACGACTTTGGGAAACTGTAGTGCTGATGTTAGTTCTTGATTTTCATTTGTTATGTGCTTCAGGATAATAAATTACTTGCATCGAGTTTTCCACTTTCGACGGGAGTTGCATACATACTTAGTTTGGGTGTTACGTCGTCATTCAGGTCCAGAGGTGTTGGTAAGCTTCATTTTCTCGTTTCCTGCTTATTGAGCTTTGTAAATATGTTCCAGCTAGTCTTATGTCTGGTCATCAAATCAATACTGTTTTCAATCCACTAGTTATAAAAAATTATGATTCCTCGTAAAATGGCTTAGCTAGTAGGTATCAGTCTCCGCAAATACTTTCTGCCGAATCCCTCACTTTAGGTGTGAATTATTAGATAAACCTATGTATGGGAGCCCGGAATTCGTCAGTTCTATCACTACTCTTGTTTATGATTGTCGAAAATCCATACTACTTAGTTGGGGTCTGTGCGTTAATTCTGATCAATGTTTGAATATGTTGGAAAATAATATTTAGAATCGATCGAAATGGCTCAGATATATTGTCTAAGTCTGCCGTTAAATCTTGAGTCTAAAATATATTTCACACTTTTTGTCCGTATGTTATGCTTCCTCTTCTCAAACTGTTTCTATTTTTCTCTTTCTGTTGTCACTGAAACTATTTCTACTTTTCTCGACATTTGTCTCTTAATTACATTTCGCTTACTTATGAGATGTACTTTCGAAATTATACACGTTTGTTGGGTCCTACGTTGCTGTTTAGTCATAATCAATGAAACTCCATTAGCTTTTTAGGCCAAGCTACCACTGTACTCACTGTGTGGTCATTATTGGATACAAAAAAGTTCCTAAGGAGGTGGGTAATCTTTCAAATCTAATCTGGAACGGCTTATGATTTATCCAAAACTAACGTAATAAACACACAAATAATTGTTGTGATGGCACTTTTGTTCTAAGAATCAAGTTTTGTATGTTAACTGTAATTGACAATACACTCATTGTATTGTAATTACGTAAACCCAAAGTTTTGGATTAATATGTTTTGTACATATTTACCAGTCGTATACATTAGCACCCGTCTTTAAATCTCACCATTTTTAATTCAGTACTTCTTTATCTTCCATGTAATACAATGTACATTTGGGTAGAGTTTTATCTATATGGTTTCTCCATAGTTACGTAATGCTAGTAATATCTACAAAACTGAAAGTTACAGTAAAAACTTTACCTATGAAAATTTAAGGATACAGAAACATGTTTCGTCGGGATAACTCTGTAGATATTTTCAGTAAACATAAATTATATGGTATATGAAATAAATATGTGGTTACCTGTACTTCCATTTTATCTTAAACTTCAGATTTGAAGTTTGTGTCTTTATAAGAGTCAAATTAACACTTAATAGCCTAAAGCCGTATTTTGGTCTGATCACCTCTGTTCTCACGAACGACTTCCATGTTACTCATCATAGTTTGTTGCTGTGATTTATTTTAAAATATTTCTAAACTACCTCAATTTATGGTGATTTGGGACCCCATTGATCACGAACTTCTTTAACCTAGTGCCCTGCATCTAGCCGCAGTATTACTTGCGCAATGGTTCCACTGTACTCAGTATTTTATTTATTTAAACACAAACATTGGTGCAAGGAGGCATCAAATATATGTGCCTCTCACAAATCATTTGATTTGTGTAAGGGCTAGGCTACTGCCCGGGCACCTAAACCGAAGCAGGTACTGTTCTTAGGCACTGGTTTGAAGACACTTTCGATGAAATACTAGCAGCCTACACATTTACTCAGAATTTCACTTTTCGCAGTCACAAATCAATGCAAACAAGACTTGTGCGGTGTAGTCGCCTTTTATGTAGAAGCAAACGGATATCATACGTACTTCGCAGCTATCTCATTTACGTAAAGTACTAACAAATTTTTTCATGTTCTGAGACCTAATACGTCACTAATTCACTAGGGTTGAGAAGACTTTCATGACGTCCTATGTGATCAATAAAGTATACTTCCTTACTTTTCATAGTTAGGCTAGCTATTAATACTTACCGCCTCTGAAGGAGCACTTTGTGTTTGTGGATGGAGAAGCATATTCTAAACACTTTTGCGCTCCCAACTAAAGCTTTCGAAAAACTGAATTTTGGTAAAAGAGCCTACGTACTCCAAATAGCGAAAGTGTTTACTGCTAAGAAATCAGTCCTTGAAATCCAAATTAAGAAAGAACTACATCTTGGAAATATAACTGACAAACCTAGCTAACAAGAGAAGCGATAAGGCGCTATGGACATCCGCCTAACGTAATCAATTTACATGAGTTTTCTGTAGGCTCTGTTCCAATCAATATTTCTCGAGTAAACAGCCTTCAATAGGCTAATATATTTGGTTGACAAACATTTTAGTAATAAACACTGTCAAAAAGAGTATTAATTAATCTAAAGGATTGATACTTTCAGGTCAAGGAATTTGACTGCAGCCGGGTGTCAGTAAGTATAACTATGTTCTTAAACCTGCCGAATGGTAGGTATTCGATCGATTCCTGTGTGATCGAACTTGAAAACTTCCTGGTGTTCTCAAAATCACTGTGCCCAGAGAAAGGTTGGTGGTTAAAACACTCGACCTAAAGCAGTTAGTTCACAGGTTTAAACCTTGCTTCATGTATTTTAGTTTGGACAATCGGGTAATATCAATAACACTTGCAGTGTGGTTAAACACCGAGTACCGGCTACCATGGGACTGCATCTCCTTACGATGCTCCACTGCCTTGTGGGTCAGACGTTCAGGTCGAAGGCTCGGGGTGTGGCTCCCTAAGAAAATCACCTGCTTCGGTTTGGGCACCCGAGCAGTATCACAGCCCTCACACAAATCAATTGAGATTCGTGTGGCGCATATGTATTTGGTGCCTCCTTGTACCAATACCTATGTGTTAAAATAAAGCTTTCCGCTTTAAGCTTTCCGTTAAAATAAATAAATAAACACCGAGTATATAACCATGCACTTTATAAACGAGTTACGTAATTTCTCGAGCTATAATTAATTATCGGATAATTTTGAAATATGGAAATCATAGAGATTGTATTGTAAGAAGAATTTTGATCTTTGAACTGTGACGAATGGTAACCGACTCATTTTAAACAGAATTGCGTTAAGCCGCGAAAGTAATTGTTTCAGCCAATTTAGATTGCAAAACTTAACCACTATCGTTGAAGACCCAAACAAACCAGTTGAATTGTTTTTGCAAGTATTCCACCCCCATTTGAAAATGGATTATTAATACCTTTTCTATCGTTATAGTTTCACTAATTTCTGACTTTAGTTCCATTGTCTAATCGTTTTTTCAATCTCTTTTGCATTTGTTACTCACCATTATCATTGCACAAACTCATTATCAGGGTACATTTAAGTTACTTCGGCTCAAAACACATTGGGATAACTTATTGGTGATATGATTGTTCGACAAAAGCTTTGACTCTTAAGTCTCTTTAATTTATATTCTAAGTTAGTTGTTCGTTTTACAATGAACATTTTACCACTCTAGGCTACATTGGCATAAAAATTTCAATAATTCTCCATGATATCCTTAAACTAACACATTTTGAGTACTTTTCCAACAACTAAATCATAAATTATAATTAATTCAGGTGCTTTAATATGTAGTATTCTCAGGATTCATATAATAGATGAAGACATCAAATATAATTGAATATATACTCAATTATTGGATTACTTTATTGCTAACTAATTATATTCACTATGAATGTTATAAATTTCATAACCTAAGATCTACGTAATCCGTAGTTTTATATTGTTTTCTGTCTGCGTAATAGTAACAAATAGCATTTTTAACTTTTGTTATTGTTTCTCTGTGTTAACCTGAACTAACTCAACATTGTGATACGTATTCTAGTCATTTTTTCATTATCAGGTTAGCAAAATAGATTATTTTAGATTCTGCTTACACCGTCGTGTTATAAAGCCTTTCTTCTCTAATCAAAAATAAATCTATTCTATAATGAATGTATATCTAACACCTAATTAAAGATTAGAACCTACACAAATTGGAATTTATAAATATATTAGTCTTATTAAAAGTATATGAGAATTTGACATTATAAAGCCACGTCGTTTTTCTGTAAAACAAATGGAAGTGATATGTGTTGAGAAAAGGAGTTTATGCAGTAAAGCGAAACTATATATATATATATATATATATATATATATATATATATATATATATATATATATATATATATATATATATATATATATATATATATATATAACGGGATGTGGATTGAATTAAAGCACGTTTCGTATAGGATTATATTGGGGCAAGCAGGTTGGTTATTTCTTATTTAATCAGTGCTAGTGGATACTTGTGGAAGACTCTAGAATCTTTCCCCCGAATCCCCTGATACGGCCAAGAGTGGGGAGAGTCCAATCACCCTCTCGAAATGCTCTCACATGGCCACGTTCATACAACCACTGCCGGGGAAGTTCTACTCACCGCCTTCTCGTGGCGGGGGTGTTGGTTACGAAATCGAGATATCGGAAAGAGAATGTCTGGTTCTTTAACCGGGTTGGTGGACACAGAGAGTCCCCCTGCGGTAGTTGGAAAACCTGGTTCTGAACCAATGGTGCACATGGACTCCAGAATCCTAGGGAAACAAATGGCGTATGAAACAATTGTTGGTCACTGGCTACCGTGTGACTACATCTCCTAAGATTGCTCCCCTGAATTGTGGATTAAACCTCTGGGTCGAACGCTCGGTGAGTGGCACCCTAAGGAAACCACTTGCTTCGGTTTGGGCACCCGGACAGTATCCTAACCCTCACACAAATCGAATGATTTTGTAGCTCATATCTGTTTGGCGCCTCCTTGTACTAATGCTTATGTGTTTAAATAATAATAAATAATAACTCTAGAATCTTATGTAAAAATTATAGATATACTAACGTTTTTTGTTGTGGTTCCTACTTCCATCCATCCTTGTTATTTGAAATATAGTTACGTTCTTGTACAACTGTGTTCTTATTTGGGACTTGTTTAACTAACATTACATCCTATAATTTACACAATAAATTGATTGTGTTCCCATTTAGATAACATTGTTCTACCCACTTCTTTTTTTCCAGCATCTATATTATTGAGATCATTTATTGGTTATGTATCTGGTGAAAATATGGATTGGTTGAATGATTCTAATCATCAAGGTGATTTACCTTGTTCAGATCTATTCAGTCAAACTGTAAATGTGAATCCAGATCACTATAGCAATGGAGAGCATTGTTATTCTGACAGCAATGTAAGCTAAATACTTGGATTCAACTTATCTTAGTATTATTTCTATTGATAATTATTTTTTCTACGAGTATCTTGATGTAAACTACTGATTTCTGGTATTCCAGATGTTTTAGTCAATAATTCTATAAATTTTTACGTAACTTATTCTAATCGCCAATAAATTTATGATCTAGTCTCATGGTGAATACTACTCACCAGTAGTACGTAGCGGAAAGTAGTGTGGAAGTTGCTACAGTCGATAACTGAAGAGAAGAGTCCCAGAAGTTCGAAAAGTATGGTTATGAAAAGTACTTTGAAGACCAGAAGAAAGGCAAGAGAAGACAGTTTGAAAACAACTTAGATTACAGAGCACAAAACACGATGCAAATGGATGACTAAAGACTTTTTGTACATATTCCATCAGCATTCTATAATTTCACTTAGTAAACGTTCCTTTTGCCTAGCACGTTGTTCTGTAGTCTACCCGACCTACTTACAAACTAATCTGCACTTTCTTTAGCGTTAGGTAAGAATTAGGCATGCATAGTGGTATCAAATCAGAGCGACTTTATTTTATCTTGACTCTCTTTAAGTGCTCCTTAACCAATACTGTTGTTAGATAGTTTCAGGCAAATGACAGGCAGTCGTAAACTTAATTTTCGTACTAGTTGGCGCTGATCACCAAAAAGTAACCTCACTATGGAGTGAATGTCTACTCCCAGTTTAATTTAAACTCATATCGTTCAGTGTTAAATCTCATAGGATACGTCAGCCGACGAATACAAACCAGCACTAAAACTAGGTCCTTGGCTTCCTGATGATGGTCTCTCACCAATTAACTTAGTAGTATACGACGTCGACTAGTCATTTAGACTAGTGACTTTATTACAATCGATTATTAGAATTGTCAATACAAATGACTGCAAAAAGTTTATCATTGGTCACCACTCAGTAATAATTCACTGCTAATCAACTCGAATTGATGCTTTCCATAAAAGTTTCAGGTTCTGGCTGATCGATTAATTCATGTAGATAATGCGTTTATACTGTGTTTATGTACTATTTGATTGTACTATTCATCAGCGTTCGCGTGCGAGACCGACCAACCCATTCTGTCATGGGCCTTCCTTTCCAGTTCTATCCAATTTTTGTTTATTTTTCTCATGTCTGTCTCCATTTCTCGGCGTAATGTGTTCTTTGGTCTTCCTCTTCTCCTTTGGCCTTCAGGATTCCATGTGAGGGCTTGCTTTGTGACGCAGTTCCGTGCTTTCCTCAATGTGTGTCCTATCCACTTCCAACACTTCTTCCTGATTTCTTCCTCCGCTGGGATCTGGTTTGTTCTCTCTCATAGTAGGTTGTTGCTGATAGTGTCTGGCCAACGGATTCGAAGTATTTTGCGTAAATAGCTGTTAATAAACACTTGTATCTTCTGGTTGATGGCTTTCGTAGTTCTCCAGGTTTCCGCCTCATACAGTAGAACTGTTTTGACATTTGTATCTAAAATTTTGACCTTGGTGTTAGTTGACTGTTATTTTGAGTTCCTGATGTTCTTCAGTTGTAAATATGCTGCTCTTGCTTTTCCGATCCGTGCCTTCACATCTGCATCAGATCCACCCTGTTCATCAATGATGCTGCGCGGAAATATAAAGGTTTTTACATCTTCCAAAGCTTCTCGGTCAGGTGTGATTCGATAGGTCCTGGGTTTGAATCCCAGAGGTGGGTTCGCGGATACGCACTGCTGAAGAGTCCTACAATAGGACGAAACGCCCGTCCAATGCTTCCAGGTTTTCCTTGGTGGTTTAGCTTCAATTGATTCATGATCTCAATTATTGAAATTGACCAATATATGTTAATTTTTCGTATGCTAATGCGATTTTGATCATGTTATCTCTTCTATAGGATGTAACATATTGGCCAATTTCACCTATTAACATATGAAAACATTTTATAAATTTAGTTAAATTAACTTACACATAATATTCCAATCATAGGTGTTACTGAATATTGATGTTTTCTGGTTAGTTGTTGAAATCCTTAATCTGGATCATCAATGGACATTCCATTTTATATATTTATATGATAATATAGGTTAGGTTCGATGTAAAAATCATACTATGACAATTTGTTTCCATCTAACTATCTAATTTATTAAGAATAATAATAATTGATATTAGTTTCAATTCATTGGATCTAATATTTTCATTATGTTTTTACCATAGATTTAACTAAGTAGAGTTCAACCATATTGTAAGTCGACTAAATTTGGAATTGTAAACCACTGGATGCTCATTCATTGAACTAAATAGTATCGGAATCTCCTCAAAGTTTAAACTTTCGATACCTGGTGGGTTTCCTTTTTTGCACGCTTGTTGAGGAATCTTATGTTAAGATGAAGTAGATGTCTGATAATCCCTGGCATATGACGATTGTCCAGCTAAATTCTTGTTGAAGGAAAAACACTAATTTAATATTTTTCACAAACTTCTTCCTCATCGATTTTGTTTACTATTATGTTTTCCTTCGTTTTTGATTTCATTTCACCTAGGCATCAACTAAGTGTAGCGATACATCTTCATCTATAATTTGGCGTGTCAAAGATTATAAATCTCTATACAATCTAATTACACAATTACCACATGTCTCTCCTGTACAAGCTGTTTATCTTCATGTGTTACATAGTAATCTACATGCAAGACGTTTCTATGAAAATCGTGGTTTTATTTTTCTTCATACACGTCCCGGTTGTTATACAATTGATGGTAGATCTGCTGATGGTTGTACATATGTTCTTCATACAAATGGTGGATATTTAGATTGTAAACCATTGTATCCTTGTTCAAATTTATTAGTACTATTACTAGTATTATTATTGATAGTTTGGTTACCAGTTAGTCAAATTCAAGGTGTTAGTTCAAAAGTGATACACTCAGTAGGCTGAAATGTTTTCAGTTACTTCTCTAGTGATTTGACCCATCTCTCCCATTGAAACAAGATCAACTTCCATCATTCTTATTTAATCTTGTTAGGGTTTATCATCAAATATGATTACCTAGTAATCCCTACATTTTATTGATCTTTTTTCATTACTCTTATCTTGGTACACAAGCGTTTTCTAATTTTCAATCTAGAATATCATCCCAAAAATTTTTTACCTTCATTATTTTCTAATCTACATACTGATGTTAGCCGTATAAATTGTTTCTACTTGTGGCATATTACTTTGTATTAGTAAGTAGTCTATTTTCTGCTTTGTAATTATTTTACATCAATTTGTCATTTCAGTAGTTTATTCATACAATATGTTTTATTCTGGTGTACAGGTTATTGATAATTTTGGAATTAAAGCAGCAGTGCATCTGAAATTATAACTTACAGGAAAAGTAATATCTTTCATTAAATAATTATACAGGATTACTTCCCGAATTTTGAGGGATACTGGTAATGTGTAAGTTAGAAATGGGACTCGACTTACTAAACGGAAACAGAAAAGGCTGTATTCAAGTATGTGATCCATTTGTTAAGTATAGACCCTTTAGAACTCTCGCTTATGTTTTGTTTCTGTGAATGATCCTAGATAAGTATATCAGTATACCTAATTCAACATGTCTAAAACTATTTCGGCGTTATATCCCCTGAACTGGGTGATCCAAAGATGAGACTATTTTTGTTTTACTGAACAATACCACCAGTAGAGGTTTTGAAAGGAGTTATTCAAATATCTCTAACATTTTGTTCTGTCAACTTAAGATTTAATTGATTGTTGTCCATAATTGTGTTGCCTTTGTCTAAATATTCATACTTTTCGGTGACCTGATATCTGACCTCATAGGTATTGATCACTTTTCTTATTGGTTGATGAATTAAGGTTATCTCAGTATGTCTATTTATTGAATAAATACAAAGCCTTTCAAGATTCTCTTTTTCGTTCGCGTCTATTGAGTGTTTTAGCATTTTCTCACTTGAACTTGTTTCAATAGTTACCCTTATGCGTTTATATAAGTGTGACTCGGATAAACGGAGTTTGAAAAAACCAAAGGAGATATTCATTTCATCCCTGTGTAATATGTTTCCTAGTTGTTTCAGCTTATCTTGTAGATGATATTGGGTTTTTTATCTCTTACCATTGCGTCCTTTGGTTTTGTTAATGTGGATTGTAGAAAGTTTATCAGTTCATGGAAAAGTTCCGCTTATTTTTAACAATGTGCTTGTGATCTTTGAGATATTCTTCACGAAATGTAAAGAATTATGAAATGTTCTTATGGCCTTTTATTAATCACGTGATACGATTGCCAATTAGAACACTGACTTACTAACCAGATCAATGACATATAAACCAGTACAAGAAGTCTAGAGTCAACTCTGAGTTCTTATTGGTCCACCGAGATGGTAGCTTCTCGCGTAACCCAACTGGTTTAGTCCAGAACACCATTATACTAGCCTCCTTTATATGAGCCATGTATTTCAGATATACTTGGTTTATATACAAGCAAATCAGACCTCATCATACCATAAAATAGAAGCTAACAATTATACAAGATCAGGTCAAAAAGTGACTGTGAATGTGAAAGACTGTGACTAATAAAGTGGGTATAACTTCATAATAGTATATCGTATAATAGTAGCCAATAGATCAAATGGAAGCTTATAATAAAACAAATATGAATATTATTATCAGAAGGGATTGTGTGGAGATTTTAGAAATTTCACTGGTTGAAATCATGAATCCATTGAAGCTAGACCACCATGGAAAACCTGGAAGCACTGGACGGCCGTCTCGTCCTAGTGTGGGACTCCTCAGCAGTGCACATCCACGATCCCGCTCCTCGCGAGGTTCGAACCCAGGACCTATCAGTCTCGCGCCAGGCGCTTAACCAACTAGACCACTGAGCCGGCATGCAACGGTGTTAATGTCTAACTTCAACCAATCCACGATGTCCCATACTAGGACGAAACGGCCGTCCAGTGCTTCCAGGTTTTCCATGGTGGTCTAGCTTCAATGGATTCATGATTTCAACCAGTGAAATATGAATATGTATGTAATATAGTTACTTAACAGTTATCCAATAAGAATCTATGTAATAATAGTCCACAAATGGATCCTAGCAGTTACCATTCACTTATCCTTCGTTCGGATATTGATATTATATGCTCTAAGCATATTCTCGACATATTTGGTTATGTGGAATAACATGTTTATGTAAGTAAATAAATTCATTACACTGAACAAAATAGACTGTTTACAAGTTGTCTACTATTTTTTTTCTTTAGAGTTTATGAACATTAACAAACCGTTATTTTGATAGTGATCAATTCTAATGTTTAAATTGCTAATACTGGTCAGAGTCCTTTAATAATTATATAAAAGTACTTTATTTAAATCTAGGAAGGTCAATTATAATCGTTTTAATTTTACGACTAAATAACCAACTATCTCAGAAACAATATATAATGATTGTCTGGTAATTAAAGAACCCAACGTACAGATCAATTACAGGTTCTAACTATCCTTTACATATTTTGATTTGGATAGGTGATTGATATTATCAGTGTAGCATCAGTCCTTCAAGTTACTGACTTCTAGTGTTAGCCATGTTGGTAAATGCAAACTACTTGGTTGGGGTCTGTGCGACTATCGTAACCGATGGTTGGAGACTCTGGGTGACATGGCTCAGAATCGATCACAATAGCGTCGGTATATACACTTTCTGTTTTCCTTTAAACTGTGAGATTAAAATCGGTTCATGTCATTCTCTCAACCAACTAAATTTTTCTTGCTGTACTATGTTTTTATATGCAATCTTTCTTTTATATATTACCACCATTGAAGTAACTACTTCTATGAACTTGATGTTGATCTTATTGTGCTAATGAGGTATGGTAACTTAGACCGATGCACATATGTGTCTGGTTCCACGTTGTAGCTGACTGAATGATTGATATTATTAGCCATCACACCTGAAGTATAACAAAAAACTGTAATTTAACCTGTACTTGAAACTACCTATATTAGGAAATAACAGCAGTTAAATTTATCCCACTGATAAATTTAATTTAAAATATTCATCACTAACATTAGAAATCATAATTTGACTGAAAGTGATCAGACTGTTGCTTTCGAATGAGTAAATTATTTTTTTTAAATATTAAATCTGTCCAATATTGTTTATTACATATACAATTTACTGCCCCCAAATGCCCTGGTACGGCCGAGAGTGGGGAGAGTCAGCATACAACCACTGCCAGGGAAGTCCTACTCACCGCCTTCTCGCGGCGGGGATGTTGGTTACGAAATTGAGAGATCAAAAAGAGAATGTCTGGTGCTTTAACCGGGTTGGTGAACACGGAGAGTCCACCTAGGGTAGTTGGAAAATCTGATTCCAAACTAATGGTACATATGAGCTCCAGTATCCTGATGAAAAAAAAAAGACGTATGAACCAATTGTTAATCACTGACTACCGTGTGACCATATCTCTTAAGATTGCTCTGGGTCGAAGGCTCGGGGTGTGGCCCCCTAAGGAAACCACTTGCTTCGGTTTGTGCACCCGGATAGTATCCTAACCCTCACACAAATCGAATGATTTATGTGGCGCATATCTGTTCGATGCCTCCTTGTACCACTGTTTATGTAATTTACTGATTACTCTCATAAGTGAATTTGTATAGATAATCTATTTCATTATCTTAAACAATCTAACCATAGTGATTTATAATACATTAAATAATTATGAATATTTATTGCTAATCCTTAACTGTCATTTTTATTCTATTAAGAAATTATAATTTAAATACTATATATGAATATCTTAATGATCATTCAGTAGTATTTTATCTAAGATGGATTATTCGTTTTTTCTCTCAATCAGGATATACCATTTTGTATAAATTACGTAGATTTTCACATTATCTTTATGATACCCCTTCGATGTTTTTACATTATCATGCATATAATCATCAAAGGCAGGGATATATCAATCATCTTTCTTCCTCTTCTTCTTCTTCTTCTTCTTCTTCTTCTTCTTCGTATCCAACTTCACCTTGTTTACCGTATCATTTCTCTGAATGTTTTATTCCAGATACCACATCAACATCATCATCATCATTATGTGTTTCTCCAGATTCACCTGTTCTAGATAATGAGTAATATGCTTTCTATTTACTTAATTTAATGCATGAAATTATGTAAATCATAATAGTACCCATACATACATATTGTTCTATATATGTTCTATATACCTTCTCTATTCATCTACGGTTAGTTGTTTTCTTATTCCTATGCTTAACTGGTTGTATATGTGATACTATATTTGATGCATTTTTAAGTTAGACAATTAAACAAATAAGTTTGTATAATTGTAGATTATCTTGCATTAAATCATAATGTAACTTAGATCTATACAACCTTAGTAAAGACTATTACTTCTTCTTTTATTTTTCTCTTTTTACAACATAATTGTATTCAATAATTGATCATAATGATACTGTGATTATGTTTGTGAATTTTGTTACTAACTTACTTACGCCTGTTACTCTTCGTGGAAGAGTGTAGGCCATCCACCAGCATTCTCTATCCAACCCCTTGTCTTGGGCAATCCGTTCTAGTTCTTTCTAGTTGTTATACATCTTTTTCATATCTGCTTTCATTTTGTCACCTTTTGAAAATTTTGTTGTTGTTGTTGTTGTTGGTAAATTGTTCGTATTGTTCATTTCATTATGTTTATTTTGTTATCATTCACAATTCATAAATACCACGTTGTTGAACGTATTGTTAAATAAAACTAACTGACCTGATAAGCGTTTTAGTATATGTGTATGTATGTATGTATGGATGGATGGATAATACAATGGGATTGTCTTTATCCATCTTTTCTTCTCATTTTAATGTACATTGTATAAAAAATAAGGAGATTCTTCAAACCTTCCTATTTCAAGCAGTTGACTAGTTCCCAATAGGATAAAATGCGCATCCCGAATTCCACTGTGTTAGACACCATCCATCTTTGCCTATAATACTCATTTAAAACAATTACTCCCTTTGATATATTTCGATAATTCAATGAGAAGACGAAGTCTATCAGAATTATGTGATGATATATTTACGCAATACATTTCGAACAATCTGATCACACATCTATATTTGTTAAGAACATTTATATATGAAAATTAAAAGGTCAACTAGACAGGTTAAGGGTAAGTCATAACAAAGGAAAAGTACAGAAGAAAACAAATGTGATTACCACTCTGGATAATAAGTCAGTATTACCAGGGTAGGTTAAGTGTAAGGACAAATTGTTTTTGAACACATAAAGGGGGTTTCAGTTTCCGTATAGTCAAGACTTCAATAAACCTTAATATACATCCTTGAAGGCTTTTGTATAACACTACAAATACTGATTTGATGTCAACCTTATGACCCGTCTCAATCAAATGTTTCGCAATGGAGGATGATTTCTGTCTATCCTATGATCTTATTTGACCATTGGAATCCATTTGTTTTTGCAACCATTTTGGTATGCACACTAGTGACTGGCTTCAAGAGGTATATCCTGGAGTTCTAGTGAGAAGTAGTGACCAGTGGAGTTCAACCAGGTCTGTTGTGAGATAGTAACTCACTGAAGACAATGGTGGATATGTGGCTCAATTTCGTGGATTAGTTGAAGTTAGACATTAACACAGTTGAATGCCGGCTCAGTGGTCTAGTGCTTAAGTGCTCGCGCGCGAAACCAGTAGGTCCTAAGTTCAAGGTTGTTATAACGTGTGATCCGCCTATTAGGGAGCAGCCTATTATCGATCGAAACAGTGACGCACAAAATACGTGTGAGTAGCCTAGAGCTCTGATTGGTCCTGCTTCCCTGTCTAGCCCAGCCAATTGACTCCAGAACACAAGTCTCAGCCTCGGAGATATGAATCATTATATTTCAAACATACTCTGTTTATATAGCAATCAAACAGACTACATCGTACCATAAAATAGAAAGTAACATTTGTACAAGATTTAACCTTCAAGAAATGACACAAATAAATATTGACCAATAAGGAGATGACACGTTGGAAGAATGTTGACCAATGGGGAAATGACACGACTTCTCATTCAGGAATAGCATTAGATAATTTCTGGATACCCCAACACCTCCCCTTCTTTGAAGATCCGGACCTGATATCCGGAATATAAGTTCCTCGGGTCCATCCTCCCCCACGAAACAATGTTGGGTCCTCATATACCCAACATACAATTGATCTGACTTTAATTAAAATATATTTGTCGCAGTGCACAAGAAATCGACCGAGCATGACTAAGTGGTGAGGGTGAAAGACGCTTGACATAAGGTCATCGAGTTTTGATTCTTCGGAAAGATTATCATCAAATTTATCAAGAATGTCACTAGTAGATAGTGGATCGCTATGAAAATCAGCCTCCATCAAAACTGAATCAGGTTCTTGATCATTATTTGACACATATGACATAGTTTCTGGCAAATCAAGGGAATCGCGATTAGATTCGTCAGGAACTTCTATCGCGGAATGATGAGCTGCATTCAGTGTACTGCACGATTTGTTTTCTGTTTCATGGGCGGTTACTGCGACACTTACATGAACATTTAGCAAGGCGTCCTTTTGTGAGCTGGATACATCACTGTCTGTACATGCTGTTTCAAGGATAATGGAGTTTGGATCCATTACTGGGCATGTTTTTGGAGTTGTTACAGAAGTTGATAAATTAATTTCTAATTTGAATACGGAGCTGGAAACGGAATGCACTACATATGAATGTGCTGATAAAAGCCTCTATGAATCCTTGATGAGCAGTAATGTAAGTGAAACAGTCATTCATGATCCGCCCAGTGATCCAGAAATGTCCACTCCAAAAACATGCCCAGTAATGGATCCAAACTCCATTATCCTTGAAACAGCATGTACAGACAGTGATGTATCCAGCTCACAAAAGGACGCCTTGCTAAATGTTCATGTAAGTGTCGCAGTAACCGCCCATGAAACAGAAAACAAATCGTGCAGTACACTGAATGCAGCTCATCATTCCGCGATAGAAGTTCCTGACGAATCTAATCGCGATTCCCTTGATTTGCCAGAAACTATGTCATATGTGTCAAATAATGATCAAGAACCTGATTCAGTTTTGATGGACGCTGATTTTCATAGCGATCCACTATCTACTAGTGACATTCTTGATAAATTTGATGATAATCTTTCCGAAGAATCAAAACTCGATGACCTTATGTCAAGCGTCTTTCAGCCTCACCACTTAGTCATGCTCGGTCGATTTCTTGTGCACTGCGACAAATATATTTTAATTAAAGTCAGATCAATTGTATGTTGGGTATATGAGGACCCAACATTGTTTCGTGGGGGAGGATGGACCCGAGGAACTTATATTCCGGATATCAGGTCCGGATCTTCAAAGAAGGGGAGGTGTTGGGGTATCCAGAAAATACCCCAGAAATTATCTAATGCTATTCCTGAATGAGAAGTCGTGTCATTTCCCCATTGGTCAACATTCTTCCAACGTGTCATCTCCTTATTGGTCAGTATTTATTTGTGTCATTTCTTGAAGGTTAAATCTTGTACAAATGTTACTTTCTATTTTATGGTACGATGTAGTCTGTTTGTTTGGTATATAAACAGAGTATGTTTGAAATATAATGATTCATATCTCCGAGGCTGAGACTTGTGTTCTGGAGTCAATTGGCTGGGCTAGACAGGGAAGCAGGACCAATCAGAGCTCTAGGCTGCTCGGTCGTATTTTATGCGTCACTGTTTCGATCGATAATAGGCTGCTCCCTAATAGGCGGATCACACGTTATAACAGAGGTCATGGATGCGCGCTGCTGATGAGTCCCACAATAGGACGAAACGGCCGTCCAGTGCTTCCAGGTTTTCCGTGGTGGTCTAGCTTCCGTTGACTCATGATCCTTAACCATTGAAATTACTACAATCTCCACAAAACCCCTTCTGATATTTTGGTATGTGTTCACCCACCCTTAATTGCAAATCACGATTGCTCCTTCCTATGTACGTGTTTCCACACATACATGTAAATTGATAGACACAATCGCTTTCGTGCTGTTTGGGCTTTTGGTGAAACATAGGCCTTGTCTTTTTAATAATGACAAGTTGGGCTGCATAAAATGTCCGGTTGATAGCTAATCTAAGTCTCCGTTTCAACATGAGACTATTTGTGTCGCCTCTGAATGGTAACGTAATATAAACTCGCTTTTTGGGTGCCAGAAGCGTCATAGGTCTAATCGTATTGTAACCCTTCCAGCGGTTTATGAACTTCAAAGAATAACCATTTTTCACTAACGTATCAGTCAAGAGCTTCATCTCTACTTCAATAGTAACACTAGTATAAATACAATTGATTGTATTGAATAAGCTCTTTATTAAACCGCGTTTGTAATGAATAGGGCAGTGACTATGAAAATTAAGATATTGCCCTGTCCATGTTGGCTTTCTATATATTAGCAACATCGAGGCAATCCGCACATGATGCACTTATTTATTTTATTTATTTGAACACAAATATTGGTACAAGAGGGCACCAAATATAAAGCGCCACACAAATTTTCATTTTATTTGTGTGTGAGCTGTGATACTGCCCGGGTGCCCAAACCGAAGCAGGGATGCACTTATACCATGAAGAAACTTATGAATTGCAATTAATAAGAAGAAGCATAGGTTGTCCACCAGGATTCTCCAATCAACTATTTCTAAGTTCTCCTTTCCGGTTGTTTCCAATTTTTATTGATCATTCTGATTTCTGCCTCCAATTCCCAAAAACGATGTATTTTCTTGATCTTCCTCTTTATTTTTTTCATTTCACCTTCAGGATTCTTAGTTAGGGCTTGCTTTATGATACAATTTGATAATTTCCTCAATGTATGTTCTATCATACATTCAACATCTTTTCTTCATATCCTGTTCAGCTGAAAGTTGTTTTATTTTCTGCCACAATAGATGAATAAAAAGTCATACAATAATTTGAAGTACATCTCATTTTGATAATTTAAATTGTTTATTGTAGTATATATGATCACATGAAAGGTAATACCATTCAATGTATTAAATGTGAATAGATCCACCTTTTTAATAATGAATATCAGTTGTTGTTGTTGTTGTTTTTCGTTGCTAGGTGATACGGAAATGAGGTGATTCCACTGTTGTATAATATAGTTCTCTTTTTTTTTAATCGTTCTTTTAGATAATATAAAAATCGATGAGTATTCTTTAAAAGACAAAAAAAAAAAACTATTCTTTTACGTTTCACGATGGTTGTGAAGATCAGATACGTAAGAAATGTATAAAATACATTGAAACTAATAAATACAAGTTAATAGGAATAAATGTAGTATGGTATAGTCAAATTGAAACTTCATTATGGAAAGTCAAGGAATAACCATGATGATGTAATGAAAAGATTGTAATACCAGATTACGTAATATGAGTAGTAATAATAGACTTAATGAGTTCGTAACGAATTATAACGTGAATGTAGTAAGATTAAAACATTTGTATTAGTGTAATTAAAAGTATTAGAAGTGTGAAATAAATAAAGCGGTATCATGAGTAATTATGAATAAAATAATAAGAATATAACACATAAGTAAAGGGAGAAATGCAGTACTACTAATAATAATTAAGGTCAAGGTAACGATAACGACAGAACGCACTTCTTTTGTACTCACAGTTCTGGCTTTAGTTCATGGATGGTAAGAGCTTCTGCTATTGATCAGTACAATGCAGTAGGTGGAGTTTATTGAAATCATCAACGATATTAACAAAAACCTGATCGATTCGCCTTATCGTGCAGACAATCTTATTTATCGAGGGGGAAATTTCCTGG